TGAAATAATTCAATCTAGTGCAAAATTCTTACTATTCGTATCCAATTCGAAATGAAATCTTCATAATAATATTCAGGCGGAAATAATATTCAGTGGCGTAACTCTACGATTCTTTTGATAAATTGCTTATCACAAATATGGTGGAATTACTAGCAAAATAATTGGGGAGAAATAAATTCAGAGACTGATGCCTCAACGTTTTAATAGTGTAATTATTCTGACATGCGTAAGCATGACACAACACCACCACAACAATACACAATAAATTGCAACCTCTCGCAAATTATTATTCTACGACACCGGCGATAAATTGATCAAAATACTAATCGTAATAATATTTGCACCGTATATCACACTTGTGTGCTTGATCGAGGTTTCGAGAAGATTGCCAAGTATCTCGACTAACAACGTACGTATGCACATACATATATTTTATACACCTTTCACATTTCACGTGCGCGATAACGGCCGATTAAACGATATCCTCGTAAAACGCGGACGATTTTTCGTCTTGCGAATTGATTCGTAATTTACGACAATTGCCACGCTTTCGAAATTTTTCTCTCATCCTCTCCCTCCTACTCACGATATCCTCGGTTGCGACATGCAATTCAATTGTACCAACCCGCTGGTAGTTACATTTGCCATGACTGTGGGAATTTTTCTCGTCCCCTCCGACGCATAGTTCGTATCTTTCAGATTGCATCTAGCCCCAAGTATACTGCCGCTCTTAGGAGAGCTTAAATACTCGCGGAGGTTCGAACTCACGATGAAATTGCTATCTTCGTCTTCGATCGAGTTCGTATTAGCGAGCAAATGCTGCTGGCTGCTGAACAAAGACAGCGGTGGAAAGAAACGGGATATATTTAAAGGGAGGATGAAGAGAACGCGTAATTGCGAATTTCATCCAGGCTGGTATAGTGGAAAATTACAGTCCGCCGTCATGGTTAATCTCGGCCTAATCAGGCTGTTACTATCATTACCGTCCATTCCGGGTTTAGCTGAAAACTTCAGTTTTCCCCCAACCGGTGGGGGGGAGGGGAGGGGGGATGTACTAACGATTCATCCCGAGCACTGTTTCCTCGCGTCGCGATGGATGAAAACGACGTTGATCGCTGTTGGAGTAAATTAGGTTTCTTGCCTGTTGAAAATCAGTCTCCCCGATAGCCGATATTGAAGATATTTGCGAGCGATTCTTCTGTTTGGCGCAGATATTTTTAATATTGGCGTTGTCATTAGGCCAGCGGCATTGGGCGTTGAGCTTTTATTAATTCGTAATTATAGATCAACAGTACGGGTAGCTGTTGTTAAGAAACTTGTACGTTTAGCTCGTAACGCGTAACTACAGCAGACACACTGGATTCAATAATTACAAGTTCACTGTTTTTATGTTCAAACAATGTCGTGAATTTAGAGGATTGGCTCGATGAAAAATATACTGCGACGAAACTACTATTAGTACCAATTTCAATTACTACTAACGACCGCTAAATTTCAAACTAACAACGAAATTATAAAAAAATTCAAAGAGAAACAAAATTTTGGTGTCGCTACCGTTTTAGGTTCAAATAGTGTCGTACATTTGGAGAATTGCCTCATTGTCAATCAAAAATATATCTCGACAAACGAAATTACTATTAATATCAATTTCAAATTACGGCTATTTAACGTCAATTTTAAGTTAACAAGAAAATTAGTAAAAAAATTCAGGAAAGAACAAAATTTTGACGTCTGACCACTGTTTTATATCTAAATAATGTGAATTTGGAGAATTCGTTCAATCAGAAATATATACCGCGACAAACGAAACTGCTTAACATCAATTTCAAATTAATAATAAAAATTAGTAAAAGTTCAGAAAGGAACGCAATTTTGATGCGAAAGTTCTTTCGTAATTTCTGAAAATGAATGTGAAGTGAACTATATTATTATTCGATTAAGTTTTACAGAATTTTACAGAAGTTAACTAGTTAACTTCCAATAAAAGTTAAATTCCTTTCGCAAATATCTGAATGTGAAATAAAGTTGTCATCAATTCGATAAATTGACAATAGGAATTTGACAGAGGTTAACAAGCCAACTTTTTCAAGAAGTTGAACCGCTGCGTTGAACGACGCGATAGGAAATAAACGAGCAAGCGAGGTAAAGCGAAATAAGACGAAGGATAAGAACAGCGTGGTTCTCGACGTTGTTGAGTAATGTATTTCTATTTGCCGACATTGGCACCAGGCATTTACCTCGTTCGAGTGGTAGCTCGTCTCTCTTTCTCTCTCTCTCTCTCTCTTTCTTATTTATCCACGAAACCGCGAAGCCGCTGCCCATGCGAGAAGCAACAAATCAAAATCGACAAAGGAACTGTCGGCGCTTCGCTTGGAAACCCGGCCGAGCATCCTGAGAGGAAGAAACATTTGTACGAGTAAATCAACTGGAAATGGTACGTGCTTCCCGAACAATGGATACCTTGTCGAGAATTCCGCCGAGGAACGAAGGCCAGAGCTTCACTTCCGATTGATTAAAGGGAAAAATAGAGAGGGGGAGAGGAAATAATGGAATCAGGATTGTAACCTCCATTATGTTACTGCCACGTTCGCGATATTCTCTCCAAGAGAGTGCTGGTCTAACAGTGAGATTGAAATTTAAGGACACAATCTGACACTGGAAATTGTTTGTTGGAAATTTTGTAGAAAGTGTATTTCTTCGAGAGCTAAATGATTTCTTTTTTTTTTTTCGAAAATAAGAGTGAATTGTGTTGCATTCCATTTTATTGTGAAGTTTACTTTAATGCTTCGGATGGAAATTTTTATGCTAGTAAATAATCGTCGGTAATAGTTTATTATTTTACTACCTACTATGGATTATTCGTTACTGTTGATTCGGTCTCTTAAATTGCTTCTGTTCTCAATATCTTAATATTGCTACTGTGTTAATAAAACCACTCCGATCACTTTAATTATATACAATATTAAGCGTCATTGTCCAGCAATTTTTGCTCGAAATTCGTTCAAATCTCGTAAATTCAAAATCTTTCTGATTTAACTTGCAACGTTTAGTTTGCAATTAGTGGCTCGAAAAGGAAAATGGAAGAAATGAATTTGAGCGAAGTGCATACACGGAATAAAATATTAGTTTAATCGTAGTATTTCTTGATTCTTTATGTATCATTACAACTCATTTCAACAACAGCAGATCTTATTTGCATTTACAAGAAACTGCAATTCTGCGATTGAAACTAACTCGTTTGAACCAGTTTGAGAATATTTCACTCTGCCAAACTACTTCGTCAAACTTTGTTAAACTACTTTACTCTCGCGTCTGCTGTTAACGTCGTAAAATCAACTCGAGGAACTCGACGAAACTCGATCGATTCAACAACACACCCGTTCAACCCTTCCCTCGACCACAAACGTCCAATCTCTCTCTCGGGACGATGGTACAACAAGGTAACCAACAACAGAAATCGGAAGAAGAAGGGAAAGAAGAGAAAGAAGAAGAAGAAGAAGAAGAAGAAGATGCTCGAAGAGCGAGCATTTGTTCAGACGGACGGATGAATATGGGGGAGAGAGTGTGCACGTGGTCGGCAGGCTCGGTGTGGGCAGTACGGTAACCTTCCCAGACAATGGGTATCTTGTCGAAGGATCTGCGGGTTCGGCGGCAAGATAATACAACGTGCATTGCAGTGTTCGAGGTGGTAGTATAACCCGGATTGCAGAAGGTGGAGTCACCTGTGAAATGTCGGCACAATGCCTCGACCACGTCACAGGTGTCTCGTCGTGAAAGTCCAAGTCGAAGGGGTACGTCAACCGGCGAATCCTCGGTCTCCCTTCGTATCCAGACAATGAGTAAAGGAGCCATTAGATCGATTGGACATATTGTAATTGCGCCGGTTGGATCGACGGGATATTGCTCGTTAATTTATTACCGAGCTGGACGAACTTCGTGACAGAAAGTCGTGGGAGTAATACGTGTAATACTCACATTTTAACCTCTTGCGCTGGAATGACGTGTCACACGCGTCGAGAATTTTTTGTCCCAAAATTGCAATAATTCCTCAGTTCTAAGTATATTTAAGTACAACCCAGGCGAAACAAATAATAAATTTGTTACTTCTCAATAATTTCTGTCCAGTGATATCATACCGACGAGTTCAAACAGAAAGCGACGAATTATTGTGTATAGTTTGGTCACTCGTTATGGTCCGCAATCAGTTGCCAGCGCAAGTGGTTAAAGAAGCCTTAAACTCTTGCGGTGGGATGACGTGCCACGCACGTCGAGAATTTTTTGTCCCAAAATTGCAATATTTCCTCAGTTCTAAGTATATTTAAGTACAACCCAGGCGAAACAAATAATAAATTTGTTACTTCTCAATAATTTCTGTCCAGTGATATCATACCGACGAGTTCAAACAGAAAGCGACGAATTATTGTGTATAGTTTGGTCACTCGTTATGGTCCGCAATCAGTTACCAGCGCAAGTTGTTAGTGGCATGTGATGACAGCGCACACGGTGATTGTCAATAATTGTCTTTGGTTCGTAGGCTTGATTAATTGGGAGAGGTAATTAATTGGTGGTTAATTGGGCGATAATTCCACGCGAGGGAAAGGATTTGCTCGCAGGATATTTATAATTTGAATTTTTATTTTTTGCGCTCGACCGTCCCTTCTGGGAGGACATCGTACTTAAATCTAGCTAAAAGCTTTCTCTTTTTGTAATTTGCTGATAATTATAACGAACATGTACATTTGGTGTTGTATGATGCGATGTATAGGAGTATAATAACAGAACAGACTCCTGAAAGACGTAAGAGGAACAAAAAAATTTCAGAAGAAGAAATTTCTGAAAGTCCTGAGTCAATTGACACTCGATAATTGACAAAATTCGGAATAATTCACATAAACCAGACTTTTTATTGCTTCTTACGAAAATTCGAAAAATGGTGGATGATATTATTTTTCCAGAGATTGAAACTATTCGCATCACTAACTCTTGTATATTTGTTCTAGCAAACCCGCAATGCACGTTGACGATTGCTCCAAGTTTAAACGATATCACACGTCACAGGAAGATATAATCAGCAAAATTGTCAAATACCATTTGAATGATTATTTCCAGTGCTACATCGTTATATTTACGAGGTGATGCTATGATAAACGATACGAAAAAAGGTTCGTCGATCGTTTCCATGCAAAATTAGAGGAAACGCTTCATTGAGAGCATCGATAGCTTCCTACATTAGCGATACAGCGATACAAATAAGAGCTGAACACCATCCCAATCCCACACACCAAGACCTTCTAGCTTCAACGACCAAAGCGGAAAGAGAAGAATGGAACAGAATTTGGACTACGACAAATAGAGCCAAAATACATGACATAGCACACCATTTCTTCATCAAAAAATACCAAATAACAATTTAAGCAGAAAAGAAAGAACCAGGCTTCGAATAGGACACTCCAAGATCACACACGAATACCTCCTAACCAAAGCAGAACCTCCTTTCTGCAACACCTGCAACCTACAAATCACCACCCAGCACCTACTACATGAATGCAGAAAATAGCGAAGCATAAGAAGTAAATATGGATTAAACGAAAACACCGCTCTAACCTGCCAGAAACAACAAAAAAGCGTTATCAACTACCTAAAGGAGACCCAACTACTAGACCAGTTATAAAGAGTCAATTTCGACACGTCGCTAAAGATAGTCGATGCGACGCTAAACCCCGCTAAACCCCCCATTTAAAAAAAAAAAAAAAAAGAGCTGAACACGTAAATTTGTAGAATTGTAGAACTTAAGTCGCGGATACGTGCCGTAGAATTGGTTGTCAAATTTGTCCGCGAATATCGACCAAATAGATAAGCTCGACGCTCCAATATTAAACGTAGAAAGGATGGCCGGTTGGCAAACGCCAGTAAGAAGGAACCTACCGTTAGCAAGCTCGAGTGTTCGCGGTTGGCACATTCCAGCGCGGAAGCGCGGGCGGTCCCCGCGGCGGCAAAGATACGCAGGCTGATACGCACCGGCCGACGTAATACGACGACGAATGAATCACGGTTGTTGTAGGAAGTGACCGTATGGGCGACCGGGTGAAAATGTCCGGTTTAGACAAAGGCGGCCTAGGGCCTCGGTGGGTGAGTGGCTCAACTCTTTGTAGTCGCGCTAACGAAGAGGGTCCGGGGACCGATAGACGATCTGAGCACGGCTGGAATGTTTTCGTCTGGCATCGAGCATCGCATCTGCCATTAGCATTCGAGCCCTCTCGCCTCGATGGTGCGACGTTCGCTGTTAGATTCGATGCTGGTCTGAGGCCCGAACGTCGTGCACGATTCCATCAAAAGTCCAAGGAGCCAGGCGGCTCCGATCAGGATGCGCTCGTCCACCTTGAGGTAATTTATCTTGCCTCTCGTGCTGCTCAGCCGGCTACCGCCTTCTATTTTCATGCTCGCTTTGGCGACAATCCGATATCGGATCTGTACTATGGAATCGTGAGAAATCGGGCTAGAAGAGTCTTGGTTTATCTTCGTACGGTCCGACAGCCTTTTAATATGTTCCGAAGCTTTCGTTGCATGTGCGCGCGCTCGTCTGCAGGAATTTTAATTTGTTCCGAAGATGGGTTCCAAGAAGATAGGAAAATAGAAGCGTAAAGTAGATATAAAGTAGCTATAGGTATAAAGCAAGTAAAAGAATTTTAATTGTCGATTGAATCTGCTCGTTTAAACGAGAATAATTTTGTACGAACGTGTGCGATGTGGATAAGTAGAATTCATAGAAATAGAATTTTTAATGTAATATAAAAAAATAGAATTTACAAGATGATTAACAATCTTAGAAACACGAGTCTGTCCCTATTTTTCGAAATGTAACGTCAAATTTTACACGCACAGTGACAAAATTCACGAAACATTTAAATAGAGTGGAATGTTAATACCGAGCATCAAGACATATGAATTTATAAATTGATCAACTTTTGAATAGAATTCGAAGAAATCAGTGAACCTTTGCAAGGCAGAATATCCACTGTATATACAATACTTATTCATTAAATAAATGGTACTCTACATTTTCATAAAACAGCCGCGTCCATCCATCAATAAATCCATCTGTAACCAATAAATCGCCACGAGAATCGGTTCTCTGTTTCCTGTAACCACTTCCAATCTACCGCTCGCATACCTCCTAATTCCCCGTTGGAAATCATCGGCGAATTAAATCAACTTCCGGCGATCGCCGATCCGAATCGTTTCCACGTACCATTACGAGGGAATCGGCATCGACATCGGCGGATCTCCGGCGATCGAACTCGCTGCCGTGGTTGGCGTTTATTAGCGGGCAACGAGCCTTTTATCGGGCACGAAGAAGGAAGAAGGCCTCCACACAACACACAAGGTGGTTGGTATAAATGGATTCGAGGCAGAATCGAGGCGAGGTTAGAGCGATTGGCTGGCGGGCACGCGGGTCGCGCGAGAGATGGAAGTTCCTCCAGGGCGTGGTAGATGCATTATGGATACTGTTTTACAAAGCACGCATCGATGCAACTTCGACCCTTCAGCCAGCCTGGACCCCGGGCGCTTTCGTGCTTTCGCTTCACGCTCGCTTTGCCAACTGTACACGCTGGCTGATTGCTCGTGCAGCGCGTGGATCCGACTAATGGAACGTTCCGCGTGCACATGTTCTCGTCCGCGTGTCCCGAGCTACTTCAATTAGAAGATTTTTCGACTCGGCTTGTCCGTGCAGCATGGGTGCAGGTAACTACAAACGCGGTGCGTTGGTATCGAAATTAATCGAGGCTCAACCCTTCTCGTCGACTCACCTACGAATCGGCCGAGTTGGAGGAAATATTCCTTGAGGCACGTTGGTGTGAAAAATGTCCCATTTTTTTTTTTTTTTTCACGTTATCTTCAGATCGTGAAGTTTCTTAATTATTTCGTTAATTGAAATGAAGTTGTTCTATCACACTTTGAGATCAGTACGTGGGTCAGTTTTTGTTTTAACATTTTGCGCCAGTAACTGGTTCGCGGACCATAACGAGTGACCAAATACAGTATACGATAATTCGTCTCCTTTTCGAATTCGTCGGTATATCACTGGATAGAAATTACTAAGCAGTAATAAATTTATTCTTTGTTTTGCCTGTGTTGTATTTCAATATACTTGAAACTGAAAAAATATTGCAATTTTGGGCCAGCGCGCAAGAGGTTAAAATTTTATACCTCAAAATGTTGAAGAGGTTAAAAGGATTGACATTACGATTCAATATATTAATTGCAATTAATTTTTATGAACATAACCAGAAAAGTACAACTTGATTAGCCTACTCCTGCGCGTTCGTGCATTTTTAAATTCCGCATCTACGATATATTATATTTATGAGGGAAAATGGTGAATTGCGAAAGTTACACTGAAGACTAAAAAGAACTAGATTTTTAAACATTTGAAAATTTTACAGATTTATACAAACGCGATGTACTCGCGAAGATTTCATTAATTTTTATACCGATATACTTACATTCACTATGCATTGATTTTTTTTAAATGTACAAACAAAAGTTTCTGTTCTTTTGTTTCCTTATTCCACTTTCATTTCTCCGATGTTGCTTTTATTCTTCAGTAATTCTATTAATCAACGTTAGCTACGTTTCGATTAGATTGCAGATAACAATGCACAATTACATATTTTCGCGAAACATATCACGAGTAAAGTAAGTTTCATCTACTAAGAATTTGAACGTGGATTTTGAAGAAAATTTTCAACTAGAGACGAAATACGTACTAAATATGAATTATAAACGTATCTGAACAACTTTGGTTGTAACTTTATTAAACGAAGCAAAATGTTCCTGCCTTAAAACACGAACGAAGTAAATTACACGGCCTCGGTCTTGTTATTAATAAGGGTCTCGCTTGTAGTAAGCATGATTTAAATGGAGCCGAAATTAATTTGCCAGGTCTTTTATTATTCACTTTTGTGGAGATAATATCGCGGAAGAGAACCCTCTCACAAGTTACGTTGTTAATCATAAAGAATCAGAGAGAAAGTGAAAAGTATTTGGAACAGGGAATTGGTTGGATCAATTATTTGTTATTATTTATCGTGTATTTCATTGTAATTACTCAAAATTGAAGTAGTTATCGATAACGAATAACGAACGTAATTTTAAATATTGCGGGAAACTCAATATTTTATTGAGTAATTAATATTTCATCGAGTTGATCGTGTAACTTCGAAAAAGGTATATAATCATACAATGTAACAATCTTTGTGTGTTCGTATTTTATGTATAAAATTGTTAATAAACCAGCAAAATAATACTATAAATATTAATGTAACTCATTCCTTTATCGGATCGAATAAATTTGTTTAAATTAAATTACAAAAATACTTCACTCTGTAAACAATTATTATGATAATCTGAAATTTTTGAAATTATTATTCTGACGTTTTAATATATTATTAATAATTTTAATTTTACTGCGTTTAATAGTATTGAATAATATTTTAAACGCTGGAGCCTTAAATCTCGTTTCAAGGCTACGGATTAAGATTGACCAATTTCTGGCACAACAAGGCAATTCGAAGAAATCATTCACCGAGAAACTGTAAACCAAAGCGCGATGAAAACAAATTGCCAGGCTCGAAGTTGATATTGGGTATCCTTGAACGTTTCGAATTTCGAGCTAGTGTTTCGCGAATCTTTACATTGTACGAACGTGTCTGCTCCTGACTCTCCATAATTTTTCTAGCGTAAAATTACTAGGTAACTAATTTTTCTAATATTCACTTATTTACTCTGTACAGCTCATTTTAAATTGTTTATCTCGTATGGAATTCTGCTCTTCTTAAATAATAATTATTTCACTTCTTTTTTTCCTGCAGAAGTGAAATAGTGTTGTAAGTACATAAGCAGTAATTTTATGGTGTTGCAGGTGGCTGCAGTGGGAAAAGCGAAAGAAAATGGACGTTCAAGAGTAAGTGCTTTGTAAGTTAATTCTTTGTAGAATATACTTTGTATTTTATACGTTTAATCCTGCTACGATCTTTGAATTTTTATGTCGTAATTTCTCTTTAGTG